TTGCGAGCATCTTAGAAACGTATTACTGAACCCAAATACTGGCTGTCTGATTTAGTATGTGTTTCTCTTAACTCATTGTTCTTGATAACTGCTGCCTCCGCTTCAATTTGGAGAGAATTCAAAAGTTCAGTGATCAGAAGGACTATTCCGATTCAGTGTGTAGGTCTGTAGAGAAAACCACAAGCTTTATAAGTTTTCAGACTTTCTCCAAGCAGCATGTGTTCTAAAATTAGTCTGATACCGTTCTTACAAAGGTGAAGCACATAAGCAAAGTTCACAGGAAAAGTACAAACTTAAGATAGTAAGAGACGTTTAACCTGCAATACTCTAAGATACTTTTAAAACGTTTCATCTGAACTACATCCCCAGCCCTTTTTTATTTTCGATTTTGAGACGAGGTTCCACTAAGTCATGAAGTCCCCCCGGGTGGCCTCGAACTTGTGATTCTCCTGTCACAGCCTCCCATCATGTGCGGCTTCAACATGGGCCCAAAAGCACTGGGGTCAAGCAGTGACGGACTGTAACCCCACAACAGTGAGCCAAAATAAGCCCTTTACATGAGGTGTGCTGTGCACCTGTAATCCCAGCACTAAGGAGGCTGAGCCTGGAGGATCACAAGTTCAGGCTCCTCTGGGCAATTTAAATAAAAAGAAAAAGGAGTGGGGAATGTAGCTCAGCAGTAGATGCCCCCGGGGTGCAATCATCTGTACACACCAGCAGGGGCAGCAGCACCACCTGATTCTCCAGGATGAGAACTAGCACAACTGCCCAGGGTGGGACAGAACATTCAGGGAGATGTCAGGGAGGGGCGGGAGGCTGTGCCCCGTTCATAGCTTGAACGACCTTGAATGATTCATCCCTAGCTGAGCGCCCTTCTCTGCTCCTCCAGGGCAAAGCTGGAAGACTCAAAAATTCTTGGGATGGAGACAGGGTTTTTCTACAGCTTAGCAGTGATAAGCAAAGGACAGTGTAGGAGGAGACACATTTGAAACGATCTTAATGAGACTTTGATCCGGCCTGCAGATCAACAAGTTCAGAACTCCTGGAGGGGAAACGGGGATTAAATAAAAGACATGCAGGAGACAAAAAGAGACGAAAGCAAGAAGAAATAATCTGATCAAGCTTCCGATTTATTCAGGAAATAATCACACCTTTTATAGGCTAAGGGCGGGAGCTGGGACAGGAAGAGGTTAAACAGATGAATACAACAGGATCACCGTCACATCCGGATACGTGACATAAGCAGAAGAGGATTATGGTTAATGTAGGCAGACGCAGTGCCCATAGGAGAGAGAGAGAGAGAGACATCGAGGCAGCAATGCCTGTCACTCGGCTCCCTACATCTCCTCCCTTTTTATATTATTTAATTAAGAGTATGGCAGGCCCTGTGAGGACAGCGTCTGTCTTAGGTCAAGGACCTCATTGCATGAACCCAACCAGGCCTTACCCGTCATGGGCTTGCAGAACAGCAGTTGGTCCTGTGCCTGTCTTAGGTGGCCGTTGGAATTAACATGCATGTCCTAGTTGCCCGTCTCTGACTGCCTGTCCATTGCTCCAGGGCAGTTAGGCCGCATCATCATATGGGCCACTCGTGGGAATTCCTTCCCTGTAGGTTTGTTGATCTGCCATCTCCAGCTGATGATAGTGTACCTGAATGGGCTTTGCCATAAATGCGTCTATCTGGTTATTAATGAACATCATAATCCTCTGAAAAATACAAGAACTCACAGAAATGAGAAACAATAGGTCAGCTAGGGGACCCAAAAGGGGCATTAGGTAAGGGAAAAACTCCCCCCCCCAAATCAAGGAGAAGGGGTTGACAGCCATTTGTTGGTGTCTCTGTATGGAGTCATTCTCCTGTTTGGCTGGTGTATGTTCCTCCAGACCAAGAAGAGCCTCTTCCGCAGTGATGGGGTTCTGTGCATGGCTGTCAGTAATTGTAGTCTGTTTGGCAGGGGTTGAAATTCACCATGGGTGTGGTGTGGCTCAAGAAGGCTGGCTAAGCAGCATAAGGCTCCAGGGAGGTGTGTCACCTGTAAGAGAACACAGGGGATTGTGCCTCAGGAAATAACATTATTCCTGGGCGTTACATGGGGTCTTTGAAGAACTGTCTACTTGCTTTACGAGGCATTCAGGTAGCCATCTAGCTTCTCTATCTTGTTGAGGGTAAACACACACTGAACCTCGTCCCCAGATAAGGACTGGATCAGGGCCATTCCACACATTGGTTAGTGGGTCTCTCCATAAAACAGATGCAAACCGTGTTTGAGTCTGAGTATGCCAAAACCGAGATGCTGCAGAGCAGCCTGAAGCATCCAGGGTCAGAAAATTTAAAATAAAAAGAGCATGTGAAAGGACATTTCTAGGGGACCCCTGGGTGGGGTACCATGTCTCCCTTTTTATTTTATCTATGGTGAATTTAAGAGAACGATGCGCACATTCAACAATGCCTTGTCCCTGAGGATTATAAGGTATACCTGTAGTGTGGAGGATATTAAGGCTCTTGCAAAATTGAGCAAAGGAGGTACTGGTATAGCCAGGGCCATTATCGGTCTTGAGCTGTTGAGGACATCGCAGAACTGAGAAGGCTGACAGCATATGGGCTATAATGTGTTTAACAGCCTCTCCAGTCTGGAGAGTGGCAAAAATGAAGCCACTATAAGTGTCAATAATAACATGTACATATTTTAGATTGCCAAACTCATTGAAATGGGTAACATCCATTTGCCATAAGGCGTTAGGAATTAAACCTCTAGGGTTGACTCCTAGGTGTTGAACAGGTAAGTGGATAGCACAAGTTGGGCAATTTTTTACAATTTGTCTGGCTTGCTCACAGGTAATTTTGTAGAGAAGGCGGAGGGTGTGAGCATTGTGGTGGTGTAGCTGATGGGCTTGTTGGGCCTTAGACACCTTGGAGTCCTGAGCCATAAAAACCTGTGCTCGTACAGCAACATCAGCCAAATGATTTCCTTGGGCAAGAGGCCCTGGGAGGTTGGAATGAGCTGGCAGATGACCGATAAAGAACTTATGACAGTGAAGCCGTATGAAGCATTGTAATTGTTTGAACAGATTTGCAGCTGGGGAAGCATGACATATAGTAGCAACAGTCTCTAATAATGGAACAGACTGAGCAAGGTAAGCACTGTCAGTATACAAATTAAATGGTTGGTTAGAGTAAGCAGCAAAAGCTGCAAGAATAGCTTCTAACTCTGCTAATTGTGCAGAGGAAGTATCTGCCTGGAGGGTAGAAACATTGTCTTGAGATACATAAGCAGCCCTTCCGGAGGATGAGCCATCAGTGAATAAAACCAGGGCACCTGGAAGGGGTTGTGAAGCTGTGACTTTAGGGAATATAAATGAGTGACGATTAGCAAAGTCAACTAGCTTATTTGGAGGGTAATGATTGTCAGTAGTCCCTGAATAGGAAGCTAAGGCAATAGGCCACACTTCCGTACTCTGAAGTAGCCAATCTATTTGGTCTTTTGTAAAAGGTTGAATGATAATGTCTGGTTCTTTGCCAAAGTAACATTTTCCTTGCTTTCTACCCTGGATTATTAGGTCTGAGACAGCTTGGAAATAAGGCAAAAGTGTTCTTTTTGGTCCTTTGGATGTAAAGGAATAGAGAAAAAGCAATCTTTAAGATCTATGACAATTTTAAAAAATCCCAAAGGAATAGCACTGGGTGAGGGGAGGCCAGGCTGTAGGGGCCCCATTAAGACCATTGTCTTATTTATTGCCCTAAGGTCTTGTAGCAGCCTCCACTTTTCTGACCTTTTCCGGATAACAAAGATAGGTGTGTTCCAAGGGGAATTACTAGGAACAATGTGGCTTGCATCTAACTGGTCCTGCACCAGCTGTTGTGCGGCTGCAAGCTTTTCAGAGTTGTTTCTAAAAGCTTATATGAATCCCCAATTTGCCATGGAGGCACAGGGAGTGGCGGGCTGCCATCCTGGGACCTGCTGATCATGTCAACAGGTGGAAGTGGTGGCAGATCACCATGTATGAGGACCTCTAACAGGCCATCATTCTCTGCATCTGAGAAATCAGAGGCTTCAGATTTTTCTGAGGATGGTTTTGAGGTAGATTTAATGGAGTCGCACAGGGCAGCCTCACCTAGTGCAACTGTCTCCTCAACCTGAGGGTCTGCATGCCTCTGGGCAAGCAGCTCAGAAATTAAATTCCAATATGTAAAGGTGGTCACAGGAACCTTTTTTGGACCGAAAACTCTATAATAATCTTTTAAAGCATCTCTTACTCTATTCCACCTCTTGGTATCTATAGAACCCTCTAGGGGGAACCAAGGGCAAACCTTATGAATAAATTGAAAATACTGTAATAATTTTTGTTCCAACCCTTATCTCTCTTGTCTTTCATGCCTTTATAAGGCCTCTGACGAACACTTCGTGTTTGCTCAATACTTGACCCATGTCTGGGAAGGGAAATGGTGTTGCCGTTCACTCACTGTGACTCAGGGAGGACGTCAGGTAGTTGTCTGCACAGGTCTCGGCACTTGATTTAATGTCCTGTTGCTTTAAGCTTTAATCCTTGATTCAGTTTACTCACTCCTCGGCCGAGGTCTCTGGTTCAATTTGCTTTCACTTTCAGTTTAAGCCGGCTGTCTCTCGAACGGCTCCCTTGTTAACTTCTCTGTGCCAGGAGCCCCCACTCTGGGCGCCACTTGATCCGGCCTGCAGATCAACAAGTTCAGAACTCCTGGAGGGGAAACAGGGATTAAATAAAAGACATGGGGGAGACAAAAAGAGACGAAAGCAAGACGAAATAATCTGATCAAGCTTCCGATTTATTCAGGAAATAATCACACCTTTTATAGGCTAAGGGCAGGAGCTGGGACAGGAACAGGTTAAACAGATGAATACAACAGGATCACCATCACATCCGGATACGTGACGTAAGCAGAAGAGGATTATGGTTAATGTAGGCAGACGCAGTGCCCATAGGAGAGAGAGAGAGAGAGAGACATCGAGGCAGCAATGCCTGTCACTCGGCTCCCTACAAGACTTTTGGAGGTCTTAAAAGGGCTCCCTGTGAAAGCAGGAAAACAAGAGTTAGAAAATGAACTCAGAGTTGGCAGTGATGGCTTGGAAGATGTACTTACATTTGCTTATATGCCAGCATTGTCAGCAAGTGTTTTATAGTTATTTAGAAGAGAAATCCAAGCTCTTCTGATTTGGTAACTTCTGTACTTTCTCTTTCTTTAATGGAATAGTTCATGTGCTGATTCACAGTTAATTAAACTTTATTACCTTTACCATGGTGTTAAAGTCCTGTGTTGTGTGCCAATCTGCACCTCTAAAATGAGCAACTCTGTCAGACTGTGGTTTCTTTAAGTCTGTATCTGGTACCACATGAAAGAAAATTAACCCACCTAATATTTCATTGTCACATGATGGATTAAATTAAAATGATTCCTAACAATTTATCAGTTTAATATATTTATAGTAAGTGTATTATTTTCATTTCAGTTTTGCAGATGGTTTTCTATAAACTACATTTTTATCAAGTCTGCATGTGAACAATGTTTTAAAGGCTCTACAATAAGGTTCACATAGGGTGTATTTAAGAAACTGGCAACCAGAGTAAAGAAGAAGCAGGGGAAGCACCGGGGGAGGAAACAAAGAACGAGAAGGAGGAGGAGAACGGGTAAGAAGAATAAGAAGAGAAGAAGAAAAGAAAAGTCTGATACTGGAGATGCTCGTGAACAACCTGAGTTCAATATGCTTAGATTGTGAGTAACTTGTGCAAATGTTTTGTAAGACAAGCAAGCATTTCTAATAAATTTTAACTTTATAAAGGTGATGTCTTGCAATACCAGTAGTATCTGACACTGAATGTCACACGATAACAACTGAGCCAGTGGTTCCCTATGCCCTGAAACAAATGTAAAATCAAATAAAAAATGATTAAAGAAGGGATTTACAAGTGGTTTTGTTTTGTTTTGTTTTTTTGGTACTGAGGATCAAACTCACAACCTCACACTTGGCAGGCAGGTGCTTACACCACCGAGCTAAATCCCCAGACATTTTAGTTAAATTATTAACATGCTCTTCAGCCCTGGGATTTAGCTCGGTGGTATAAGCGCCTGCCTGGAATGCAGGTGGTCAGAAGTTTGATCCAAAAAAAAATTCCCTTTGCTGTTAAATGATCATAATGGCTATTCTTAGTGCATACAAGATTGCAAAACAAACAGTACATCTGTTTGGATATCACTAACCCTAAATACATAGACAGAAACATGGCAAAACGGTCCCTACTTTAAATGAATTTCTTGACGAAAACCAAGAACATAAAGAGCATTCTAACCCATTAAAATAAAAAATGTAGTTTTTATTTCCTCCAGAAACTTCAAAATGCACTTATCCAAGAAACCACACCACTGTTTTCATAGATTGTCAGACAATGTTTCACACCATCGTTCTTGGTGTCTTAGAGTTCATTCTCTCTGTGAATAAAAATCAAAGAAATGACCACGTGTTACACGATCCACTTCATTTATTTCTGTACCTCACTCGTTCACTACTTCGTGACTACTATAAATGAAGTGTTACCTGCTGAGCTGGGGCAGGGCAGATCAAGATAGGGAGGCACGGAGGAGTTGAAAACTGCATGACTACAGAAAAAAGGTCTATTACCAAGTGAAAACAAACCAGTATGACAAGGCTGGGAGCTTATGATCCAACCATACTATTTCTGGAGTAGGGAACATAGTATCTAGGGAGGGAGAAAACGCCAGCTGTTTCCATGAGTGGTCAAGGATGAGCAGATTGATCACACGGGAAGGAAAGGCTGCACTTCCTTCAGTCTGCACTAGGGAGGATGCACTCAGGGAGCCCAACCATTTTTGCCAGTGGACGGAGCACCTCCATTCCACTGACTCCAAGTGCTCTACCACTGCCCCAGGAAGCATCCAAGGGTACACTAAGACAGCATCTGGCTCTTACTGTCCCGTGTATGTGCTCTGGAGATGAGAATGCCAGGGGACCCTACCTCCCAAGGGAGCAGTCCACTGGCCCTCACCCAGGGCTCTCGGGAAGTTCCCCTGGCTTCTGGAGGTGACTTTAGAGGCTGAACATGTAGCCTTAGAAGGAGACCTGTGACCAGTATAAAGCTGGACCCTTTCCTGAAGCCCGATTCCCTTGGCACAGTCCCATTCCGCACTCTGTCATAACAAGCCCTGCAGGCCCTGCCAAGAATGCGTCTCTCCATTAAGACCTGCCCTGAGAACTATCCACAAGCTGCCCGCTACACCCACAGCTGGGGTGAGGGGTGGGAGCCTTGTGCTACCCTCCCTCTGCATACATCTTAGTTAACAGAATACGAAATGCATACAACAAAGAACACATGACATCAGAGATTGTTTGGAGAAATGTTGGTAAGTGAGGAAGGACACCAAGATACACGTTCACTGAATTTCTATTTCTTTTCTTTCTTGCTTTTTATTGTATTTATTTTTGGTACTGGAAATGGAACTCACAACCTCACGCTTGCCAGGCAGGCACTCATGCCACTGAGCTAAATCCCTGGCCCTTTTGTTTCTATTTCTATATCAAGAGGAGGGAGAGATACTATATCATGCACCATATTCTTCTGCCTTGCTCACACTCCTTAAGCACTAATGCTGTGCAATGAAAACAATGTTCTTGACTGCATTCACCTGCACTGGATGAGACTTGTTATTTTTCCAGAACTGAGCATGTTAATTGTTGGGGCTTTTTTGGTTCAGTAGAGAAACAAACGCAGAAAAGAAAAAAGGCCTTATCAGTGGGCATGGGAGAGCTGCCAAAGAGTGCAAGATCCCTCTGAGGCAGACAAAGAAGCCATGGGGCTTTGATTAGGTTTGACAGGGGATGGTGTGTGAAGAGGCGGGCAGAAAGACCTACTGACAGCTGATGGGGGAGATGCTGGCACATGCACGAAAAGCAAAAAGGTCAACTGGAGCTCGGAGGAAGAACACAGAAATCAATATTAGAGGGACACGCTGTCATGTTAGGGTCCAGCACCATGTTGGGCAGGCACCACGTGAGGTCTGGCAGGCTCCCACATGAGTGAAACCTATCACTGGTTCAAGCAGATTTCATACCAAGAGTGGCCCGTAGGGTGATCTGGGGCTGATGCTGACCTCGCAGGGACACCTCCTCCTGTACTTCATTGTGGCCCCATCTGCCACCCAGTGTTCTTTCTTCTACTGTTCAGTTTCTTTAAGTCAAGGAATGAAACACCTAAAGGAAATAGCAAGGAAAGCTGCATCAAAAACCACGACTGTTTCCTGGTTTATTACCAATAATACCTCCACTCACAAAATTATAGAACAATAAAGAAAATTACAAACCAGGCGACTTTAGTTTTATAGGAAAGTTAGAACATCTAAATATACTAGGATTATAGTAAAATAGATATACACATCTCTCATGCGCACTTACATGCACACATTTTGTGCGATACTCATTAAATTCCTTTGTTGTGAAATAATTCTAGCTTTCATTTCTTGGAAATTGCCTGATTATAGACTTTGATATTTATTCAGGGAATCAATCCTTTGGTTTTATAGCCTTAAATCTTTTGTTGTCAGTCAAAACTGCCTAAGGCTGCTTCTCATTATGATAGACAATGTTAGGGTCCAGCACTAGAAATTTCTATCTTCCAGATAGAAATCTGCACTTCTACAAAATTTCTAAGCACATTTGTTACAATTTTATTGCCTATAGGCACACTGTTGTAAACAGAAGTACAGAATTCCCACATCTTTGATACCAAATGCCCAGCAACTCACATGCCCCTCATCCTCAGACCCTGGAAATCACCATTCTACTGCCTCCTTGAAAGGTTGCTGTATTTTAAGCATCTCATATAAAGAAAACTGTGTAGTATTTGTCCTTCTGTGATTGGTCTACTTCACTAAACTTTCTGGGCTCTTCTCCAAAAACAACAGAAACCAACGTTCACAGCAACACTTTCCGTAACAATCAAGATGTAGAAGCAATATAAATGTTACTGTTGCAATGGATAAAAACCAGGCCATACGATTCCTACAATTCAAAAGTATTCTGTCACTAAGAAGAAGGGGAACTCTGTCAGAGGTAACAATGCAAATACATTTCTTTTCAATTAATTTAGTAGCCATAGAACTTTGTTAGGGAAAGGTGGGAAGCCCCAGATAACTTCTCCCCACACAAAAAACAACTGCAACCAGACACAGACAGAAAGCACTGTGGTACTTCAAAATGCTGCAAGCATGCAGGACTAGGCAAATGGGGACTGGAATCCAAAGGAGAACAACAGCCCGTAACGTTGGATTTCTCCTACTGTGTCTTCTTGCTTTGTCTAGGGAAAATCAATTCCAGTAATCACTGAAAGAATAAATACTGGACCCCAATCCTTGTTTGTATCCAGAGAAATGTGGACTTCGGATCGGGGTGGGGATGAGGGGATGCATCTGAGGCTGCAAGGGTCATCCCCACCCCACTTTTGTGGTTTTTTTCCTCACCGGTTGCAAAGTTGTCCAGCAGCCTCAGGAGTGGCAGACGGACCTAAAACCCCAACTAATGACCTATGCCCACAAAGGAACAGGCAGTGACTTCTGCTGTATGAAGAAAATGAGGGAAATTGCCACTATGTTTGTACTCTTTTCCTGTTGCTGATGGCCTCAGGGTTGACCTGCCATGGGGAAGTTCTCCTCTTGTAGCAGGAAAATGTAAATGGCATTTTAAAGAGGAGAGAGCTGCAGAAAGAAATCATTGAAGTCTGTGTAAGAGGCAGCACCAGGTCTAGACTCACAGTGAGCGGCTTGCACAGAATAGTTCCAAAGAAGCAAGGCAAAGGCTTTGGGAAGCGACTGAGATATCAACCACCAGGCATCTAGTAGACCACCGGGGCTGGGGGTGGGGCACTGTGGCCTGAGCACAACCTGGACCCTGCAAAGCAAATGCAGGATGCAGTCTGACCCTGCTGCCTTGACAGCTTTGCAGAACAACAGAACAAGAGAAATCATTGTTTGCCTGAGGATTTTAATAGGAACCAGAGTCTCCTAAATCAACCAGCAAACTGTCCAGGGCACTATCCAAAACTAAGCAATAGTACATATAGAAAATTAAGACAATCGGTCAGAAGGGACCGATCCTCAAGGGAATCCTCAAGGGAAAGGGCAATATCCAGCCCTGAAACAACCCACATAAAGGAAGGATCGTGGAAAACACGTACCATGGAAGCAGAAAGCCTGATCAAACCATAGACACTTTGTAAAGCAAAGGTAAAGCCATTCTGTACTCAGCCACTGAACTCAGCTAAATCATATGATTTCATGCAACTGAAAGCCCTGGGAATGTGCTGACAACTTTGCCACACACAACTATGTTCACCACAAGATAGCCATTGTACCACAACCTTCAGCTAAAAGCTTGCAACTCTTCCCTGCAACCTCTGTTTGCCACTCTATAGAAAAGACAAGCTCTCTGCAATCACCACCTCAGACTTTGAGGATGACTCCCCTGGAGACCACTAAATTTCCTTTCTTCTCCTGAGCTCCTGGTTACTGTTGGCTCAGTTTCCCCTACAACACTAAAAACAACCATTCTCATAGACAGAGAGAGAGACAGAGAGAGAGAGAGAGAGAGAGAGAGAGAGAGAGAGAGAAAGAGAGAGAGACAGAGAGTGAGAGAAAGAAAGAGAGAGAGAGAGAGAGAGAGAGGCCAATACCCTTGACATGAATGGAATATGACATCAATGGAATTCATTTAATGGAAATAAATAAGCTTCCATCAGAAAAAGAACAAGAGTCCAAGACTCTGTGGGGCATTAAAATGCCAATCTAAAAACAAAGAGAAAGAAAAAAGAACAAAACAATTAAGAGTCTCAGAGACATGCAAAGCAACATAAACGATTTTAACATCTTACCATCCTCATGGGTAAAGGAGGAGTTGAGGAACAAGAGAGATACAGGAAAAAGTGGGAGATAGGTCACAATTCATGGAAAACACATCTAAGATGCTGGGAAAAGTCTCACCCAAGACACGCTCAACTCAGTACACAAGCATAAAGACAACCTGGAAAATACTCAGAGAAAATAACAGGCCCAATACAAGGAAATGTCAATTTAAAACTTCCCATGGAAAACACACCAGCCACAAGAGACTGAGAGAACACCTTGCAGGGCCAGAAGAAAAGGTCCCCCCAGGCACTGTGTGTGTGTGTGTGATGTAAGTTCTGGGGCCCATAGGAAAATAAATAGGAAGGTTAAAGGAGGGGAGAAAAACGCAAGGGAATCTGTTACTAGAAAGCTTGCTACAGAAACACACGAAGGGATTTCCTTCAGGTTGAGGGTAAAAGGCAGGAACAGGCAGGGTGTAACTTCAGGAATCAAAGAGGAGGAAAGGAATGCTGCCTGTTTGGATACCAGAGGCTGGTTACTCTCCTCTTCAGTTCACACACAGGGCAAGAGCAGGAAGATGCAAAAGCCTGATGCCAAAGCTTTCAAGTGTCCCAGGTGGGGCTCAGGCAGGAACCCTGCTCCCCTAGTCCATCCTCCTAGGATCAGGGCCCACAGGTGACAGCCCCAGGGCTCTGCATCAGGGCCCTCAAGGGACTGCAGCAGCTCATTTCCCCTTAGCTGTCCGCCTCAGCCCGGGGAGGAGGGCGTGAAACCTGCAGCCTGTTTGCAAGCAATGGCAATCCCTCAGGGTCGCGGGCTCCTGTCCCCATCTTGTTGCAGAGAGGCAGAGGGACCGCCCTCCCGGGAAAGTTACAAAATGTTGCAAACGCGCCGCGCGGCTTTTGACCGTTTGTGCACGCGGGCACGCGGGCCTGAGCACCCGCCTGCGGGGCGGGTTTTGGTCTCGAGCTGCGAAGCCGCGTCCCAGCAACAAAGCATTGCGGTTCAGGCCACAGAGCAGTTGGCTGCTTCAAGCAGTGCGCTCTGCCAAGGTCTGGGATAGAAGTACCCCCGTTCCCCAATAGTTCCGGGGAGCAGTGCGGCGGGGCTAGCTTTGCCCCGCAGCCCTGCTCCCTGCCCGCGGGGGCAGGAACTTGCCCCAAGGGCCCACCTTTGTGGGCCCCTCTCGGCACCTGCCCAGAGCCCTGGGTGGGCGCATCCCGCTTAGCCAGTGTGCCCGCGGATCCAGTCCTGACGTCTGGCACCAGGCATCAGGCATCCCGGGCTTGACCTCAGTGCTCTGGGCAAGAGTGTCCGGAGCACTGTTCCCCTACCTGCAGGCCCTTTTGGCCCTTTTGGCCCTTGAGGCCCTTGAGGCCCTTGCGGCCCTTGGGGCCCATGGGCCAACAGGTAGGCTCTCTTCTGGGGAGGCCAGTGCTTCCCGCAGAGGATTTTCAGACACGCCGCAGCAGCAGCCCTAGGTCCTCCCGCAGGGAGTGCTCGGGCATTTGGCTCTTGAGGCAGGAGGCTCAGCAGAGGAGGGCCGCCCAGGAGGCTGCGAGGCCCCCTTCCGCCTTCAGGCCCGTGGTAGGCCGGCGAGGCCAGGTGCCTTATGTCCCCAGGCCTGGGCCTCTGAGCACAAACCACCGCAGGCAGAGCGCCAGAGCTCCAGCTGCCCCCTCCCCCCGGCCCTCCTGTGTGAGCTCCACCAAGCGAGATGCCATCAGCAGCTCCTACAGCTCCACCGGGGGGCTGCCGGGACAGCGCAGGAGGGCTGCAGCCCCTTCGCACACCAGGCCGCCCCCGGGCTCCACCAAAGATCTGAAGGCGGCCAGGCCGGACAGCCTCCAGCAACCGTGTTCGACCCCCCAAGTTCCCCGCAAGACCGGGAACGAGGTGGTGGCAGACACACCATCCAGACACGAAGAAACCAGAAAGGAACACGAGATGACACCAGAGGGTGCTGGCCTAGGAAGAAGAAAGATCCCTCTCCTGAGGCCTCGCCAAGGGCCACCCCTCAGGCTGCCACCACCTCCCGAACTAAGCTTTAAGATCACCGCAGAGCACATAGATCAGGAGAAGGAGGCAGCATTTAAACTTCTGAATGCCAGGCTGATGGGTAAGTTGCAGGCCCTAGACATCAGCAGCACCCCACAGCCTGTCTGCCCTCCTCCCCTGCCTGCCACAGGTACTGCTCCTGAACCCTTGATCTCTGCGGGGGAGAGTAACCACAGAAAGCAGCAGGACTCCACCCTCACCAGTAGCCCTCAGCCTTCCTGCTCTGCTTCCCAGCCTCTGCCAGGCACTGATCCACCCATGATCCCTGCAGGGAAAGGTAAGAAAAGAAAGAGGGCCCTAAGAACAGAAAGGGCCCCTAAGATCTTTGATGCCACAGAGCCTTCCTGCTCTGCTCCCCTGGCTGCCCCACGGACAGCTCCTCCACACACCATTCCAACAGGGAAGGTTATGACAGGTAAGAGGAAAAGGGAGAAGGCCCCTGAGGTCTTTGACCCCACACAGCTTTTCTGCTCTGCTCCCCTGGCTGCCCCAGGGACAGCTCGTCCAGACACCATTCCAACAGGGAAGGTTATGACAGGTAAGAAGAAAAGGGAGAAGGCCCCTGAGGTCTTTGACCCCACACAGCTTTTCTACTCTGCTCCCCTGGCTGCCCCAGGGACAGCTCCTCCAGACACCATTCCAACAGGGAAGGTTATGACAGGTAAGAAGAAAAGGGAGAAGGCCCCTGAGGTCTTTGACCCCACACAGCTTTTCTACTCTGCTTCCCTGGCTGCCCCAGGGACAGCTCCTCCAGACACCATTCCAACAGGGAAGGTTATGACAGGTAAGAAGAAAAGGGAGAAGGCCCCTGAGGTCTTTGACCCCACACAGCTTTTCTGCTCTGCTCCCCTGGCTTCCCCAGGGACAGCTCGTCCAGACACCATTCCAACAGGGAAGGTTATGACAGG